TTAATCGTATATTATATCTATCCAAAAATTATTTTTCTCATTTTTTTCTTTAAAAACAAAAGTCCCACTCCCCCCATTGGAAATGAAGAAAACACAGCAAAATAAAAGAAAGGAAAGAGCATGTGATTTGCTTTTGTTATTTTGATGCATGTAATAAATATGTAAGAAATACTGTGTTGAAATACTGAGGTTTTTTTCTTTTAAAGAATTGGAATTATGTATAACTTGTATAGCTTTCTTGTTTTTTTAATATACATTTTCTGTTTGGCTCTGAAATCTTTATCATTATGTTTTCAGTGAGATCAGGTGAAAATATTGTATCTGGATTATATTACTCTTTCCAGATGTTATCTCTAAATTACACTTTAATATTTATTACAATTCCAAAATTGAAAAATATCTTGTTGATCAATTTCTTAGTATTTTTTTATGTAGATAACTGTAGAAGTTTTCCCGACATTAATCTATGAAAAAGCTTAGATCTCCAGAAAAAGATTGTTTAGCACTTACTTTATTCTGCCATTTAACAAAATTAGTTTGTGACTCTTCTAGTAGATTGGAAAATCTTTGAAGACAATTGCTTTTAAATTTTGTATCCCTACTTAACACCAGCTCAGTGCCTTGTTCATATAAGTATGGAATAAATATGTATAAATAATATTATTTCAAATTTAAGTTTTAGGTTTAGTTGGGACAGGCAAGTTTCTGTTGTGTAATATCACCCATAAAACATAGAATTAATTAGTAGTAACTGCAATGTCATAAATTCTCTTAAATTTATAGAATATACTGAAATTCTTAGTAAAGTACAGATAAAAATTGATACCTTTTTATCCACAACTCAGATTTGACAGATGTTAATATTTTAGTCATATTTGCCTCAAATATCTCTTTCTTTTTCTCTCTTAGAAATAAAATGTTAAGGAACAGCTAAGACCCCAACCTCTTTCCTGTCACTCCTTTTTCTTTGCTTCTCTCTCTCTAAATAGATAACTGTTTTTCTGAAATTGGCATGTATGTTCTCCATGCATATTTTTTTTGACACATTTATGTCGTATCATAATACAGTAGTTTCATCTTTGCAGTTTCATCTTTTTTTTTGTATAATATCATTTCAGTTATTTATCCATGATCTATATGTGTCTAATATATTTATTTTCAATGCTTTATATTATTCCATTATGTCAATCAACCAGTTGATTTATCTGTTGTTCTACTGATAAGATTGGTCACAATTTCTTACTAACAGCACTGAAGTGAACACCCTTACATGTTTTCTTGTTCACATGTATGAGATTTTTAGTGGGTTATTCCTAGAAGTGAAAATGTTGGATTGTAGGGAATGTTCCTCTCTGAGGTTACTAAATATTGCCAAATTGCCTTCCCAAATTGGATATATAAGTTTGTGTTCCCACCCAGCAATGCATAGTAATGTTTGCTTTCCTAAATCTTTTTCAAGTTTTAATCTGATCTCAGTTTGACCTTAATTCTTATCAAGAATTTATAATCATTATTGTGTTCATATCTTTGCTTACTTGAAACGTTCTTTTCTTTTATTATAAGCATTCCTTCTATATTGTGTATAATAATTCTTTGTTGGTTTTATGGGATATAAATAGCTCCTTTTAACTTTGTATTTGATATATTTTGTCATATAGAAGTTTAACTTTCAATGTGGTCACATTTATCCGTCTCTTCCTTGTAGTTTCTGCTTTTTGTGTCTCAAATAAAATCCTCCATATCTTTTTATGAAAAGATTCTAATATAGTTCTAAAAGTTATGATTTTTTAATATTTATTTAAGTATTTAAGTATGAGCTAGCAATCTATATTTACACTTGCCAGTTTTCTATATGCTTATGCAGTTTGAATGTGTCATCTTCATTTGTGGGGGTCAAGAAGTGATTTTTACAGTTTTTCTTTTACATTTGCCATTAAAATTTAGAAAATTCTCAAAACATATCATTTACCTATAATAGTCTAAGTGTATATCATAAAGATTTTGGTGATGGTACCAGCAGTATGAACTCTGAGTCTTTTAGACATGATGTTGGCGATATTAGTTTATGCTTTGAAAGTAAGAAGCAATGTGAGACTTCTTTGTTATGTATGATCTTTTTTCACTGACTGGCTGCAAACAGTTCTATTTGTGGGAGGTCTTTTTTGATATTTTTTTTTTTTTTTAGTAATTTTTAAACAATTGGTGGTTTTTAAGCAACATAAATGTTACTGTTGTAGTCTAATAGCAAAGTTATATTTAACAGACTGTTACTAGGTTTCAGATAATTGATTTTAAAAAAATTTCTGGTCTGTTTTTGTACATTTCCTCTTTGGATTCAGTGTTTCTGGACTTTAAACTTGGAAGATCTTCATTTTCCTTTCTTTTTGTAATATAATAGACATGGCTTTGTGGCATCCATATTAAAAATGGGTAATTTTCCTTATGGTCCCTGTCTTCCTGCTGGGTTGATAATGTTTTGATGTATTTTTCTTTTGCTCTGATGAGAGGTCTGCTGCTGCTGCTCTGACATATTCATTTGGATGAATAATTATAACTTGCACAATGTCAAGCTGAAGATGGTAGGGTTTTGTGCGTCATGACAAGCCTAGTAGCCAGTGCAGGTGTCTCACAGCATGATCAGCAACAGCCAGTGTATTCTGGCTCAGAGGAGACATTTAGAGTAGTAAGAAATCAGCACCAAGGGCAAGGCTGCTGCTACTATTGCTGCCGTGATATGTGCCAAAGAAACACAAAGTGCTTCTCAAAGACAAGTGTCTAAATACCTCTTTTCAGTATTTACTTTGTTTACTCAGTGAATTTTCTAATGTAGATTTTAGCATAGACTGTAAGAACATTCTCATGATTTTCTTATTCTACCATTTAACATCACGAATGCTCCAAAACATATCTTTAACAATCCTTTTAATCTTTTACATACAAGTCATATATATGGATATTGTTGACTAATGGGGCTATAGAATGCCCAGATGTCAGGTGTTAGTGTGCTGATATTATGATTATATAAAAATGAAATTCATTTTTTTTTTTCAAGTCACCGACTAAGCAAGAGTGATTGTTAAAATTGCAACTCTACCTGTAAATGTGCCATTAGATGCAGACTTGGTGAACTCATTGCCATAGTCATTTGGAATTTTCAGATTTGGCGTGGGGCAGTAAGTAGTGGTGTTTATAATTTTTATTATGAAAATCTGATATTCTTAGAATAATGCCATGAATGCAAGAAGAGCAAAACTAATGATAAAGCCTCTGGCTGATAATCTGATGGTGAATGAAGAATTTATAATTAAAGGAAACAGTCCTATTACATAGCAGGGAGCATGATCCATTAGTTAGAGCAGCAGACTAGCAGTTGGGTATTCTCAGTTCTGTTTACAGTTCAGCCATTGACTTAATTGTATAATTTCAAAGAAATCACATGACTGTCTCAGTTTATATGTACTGTATATGGAAATAGTGAACTTTCTCTTTCACAGATATGTTAAGCAAAATATATCTGGTTTAAAACAAGCACAATGTCGGGGGAGGGGGCAAAAAAACCCTCAATTATCCAATCTAAGGA